AAAAATCAAAGGAAACAAGCAAGCAAGTGTGGTTCTTCAAGAGAGCTCAAGAACACAACTCCATGGCCTTTAACCTTCACAAAACCATGGCTGTCCAAGGAGCTAAGGGCTACGAAATTTTGGCTTCACACCATAAAAATGGTATGGTTGTGAAGAGGAGAGTGAGGGGAACAAGTTTGGTGAAGGAGGTTTGGTGATTTGGAGAGGTTTTGAAGGTGGAATCTTAGAGAGAAGTGAGATCAAAGTTTGAAGTTTGAATTTTAGAGAGAGAAGTGATATGGGGGCTGCTGATTCAGAATGAGGGGGAAGGGGAATGGTGCCCTAATTAGGGGGTGCCATGTCACTAAGTGACCATTCGTCCTTTAGTGTGACCCGGTGTAATTTTTAACTGATCCGTCGTCAAATTTTTTACCCGGAAATTCCCAAGACTCTAACTTTAAGTACTTAACATTAATTTTGTCTGATTATCATGTTCATAACTTAAAAATTTGATTAGTAGATCACAGATCCACTAAGTTGTTTAATTGCTCTGTAGTCTTTACCGGTGTTCTTAACTGTACTCGGATTTCATAATCTACTTAACTTTAACATTTTGGTCTAATTATGACTTGTTAGGCATATATTGGTCTTTATTTCCATTTTCTCATCTTTTTCTCGTTTCGGGGTTCTACCGGCTGCTGCTACAGCAGTACAAAATACCCGGCAGAAGTGACTTTTCAAAAATACCCCAATATGGGTATCAATCTTCATCAAATCATATCCTAACCTCATTCATGATGTTTATATCATTAGATTAGCTCTCTAACTATAATTTGCTAATTTGGAGCTATTCTACTAATTGTTACTACGTCAGCAGTCAAAATTAACAGATGAAAATTCATTTGTGCAAAATACCATCAATATGGGTATCAAAATTCTTATAATTTCATCCCCATTCTATTTATGACCATAAGGTTCTCATTATAACCCTATAATTTAAAAATCATATAATTAGGATTAGTGTGACACCCTCCCCTGTACGCGTCCAAGAGAGTTGTCTGCTAAGCATATTAGAGTCGAATTGTTAACGAGTAAAATTTTTTGTTCAGTAAAAACTTTTTCATTAATACCAATTCAAAAAACTTTCTTAGAAGACTTACTTTGAAAAAGAAAATAGCAAGTAAAATTCAAAAGGCTTTCGCTACGCAACTCTGATTTTCCTGAAGACAGCCTGTCTTGCAAATATCATGAAAAATTCGAATACAAAAATTTACAAAAATTTTCTTTGCTACGAAGAAACTAGACATCTGGAGCTTCACGTACATATAAATTATACACAAATCGGAGGAGAATAGCCCCACGAAACTGAACTCGCAAAGTTCTCGAAAATCCAGTGTGTTTTTCTAAAAACCTCCTGACTTGTAAAAATCATAATAATTCGAGTTTTCAAAATTTCATTGTAAGGTTTACATAATATGAAAGTACACAACTGGGGCTTCGCATGCATATAAAGTAAGCCTCATTCGGAGGTCTGTAGCCCCAGAACGACAATTCGCAAAGTGCTCGCAAAAACCGTTCAAAAACTCCGAATTTAGATACAACAGAAATCGGTTTGACACTTTAATTTTTAGAATCACCTAAATTCAGACGTTATAAAAATATCATGTCACAACTCATTTCAAGACAGAATACACATAATAAAATGCCATCCTTAAAAGGCTACATCAAAGCTGAATATACATTATACTTCCAACAGAAACATCAATTAAACAATAGGATATCCCAAACAGTAAAACTCAATCAATTCATTTCCATGAAATCATGTCAACAAATACTTCTTCACATGCTTCTAAGTCCTCCTGCAATTTATGAAAATTGAGCCCCCGAAGGGGTGAGAAAAATCTCAGTAGTGTGGCAATAAAACCAATACAACAACAATATTAGACTAGGCACAAAATTCCAAAACAGTTGCATCAACATTTAATTTTCCGGACAGATGCTAACATATAATCAAAGTGCGTATATAACGCCAAAATACTAATCAAGATGCGTATATAACGCCAAAGGTGTACGATCATAGCACCGTCGTGCACGTACTAAAAAACACAGTGGATATTCCATAGGGCTCCCCAAAAGGTGAATTCCACTGGACCTATGCAGACTGAAGCCAAGTGTCCCATACCCTGGTACCAGAGGGATGCCTACATGATGCGTGCTCAAACGTATGCTTATTTTTATTATATACTTCAGTCTCCAAGATGAATGCATAATGCGGTATGCGATGACATGCTTGACACACACACAAACAGACACAGGTGAAACATGATGTGCAAATGCATGACTATATCATAATAATAATAGCATATATCTTTTGCATATTTAATACCAAGCTTCCGAATAACAAATACTTCCTGAAACAGAATTTTCCATCATAACAAGTCCAAAGGCAGAATACATATACCATATAACAGAATACTAATCATAAGGCACATGTGAGCATCAGTTCAAAATCTCATACTCTAGCTAATAGTCACAGCAGGTCTCACCACCAAACACATACCTGGCGTGCCCAAATATAAATCATACAGCAGCAAACTCAATCCACACTCAAAGGTTATGTGCACCTAATCAAGCAAGAAAACCAGGCAGAATTCTTAAACATTGGTTCTTACAATTTACAAGCAGTAGCCAGGTCTATAAGCTTTAGCATTTTACAAGGTTCTATGAGTCTTTTACTTACTAACTTTTCTGACTTCAAGTTCTTTTTCTAACTTATTACAGCGAACAATCCAAGGTCTTCCAAGCATATCAATTCAGTTTTTTAAGCATTAATAGGGTGCTCATGGCATTTATTTACATAACATTTTCTACATAACATAGGAGAGTAATAATGAGGTTTTAACATGTTGTCCATAGTACACAAATAATTCTCATGCCTTCTACCCTTGATTTTAATCGCATTACCATGATCCTTTCGCTAAACAATTTCCTGGTTTCAAGTAAGTCCATCCCTTAGCTAACAGTAAAAAGCCTAGGATCCACAACACATTCGGTTTCAGTTTTAAACAATTTACATGTACTACCTTCACCGGTTTTTATCTATATAATCAACATCTACCTAGCTTAGGTGTGCGCTGCTGAATAAGTTATGTAACCATGCTGCCTAATTACCTTAATACAAGAAACAATAAATACATCATCTTAGTTCCACAAGCCGTTCCACAAGCTACGAGGCTATTTTCCCAAGTCCCATAAAATCATTATTTGCACTTGCAAGGGCTAGGTCCAATTCGGTTTTACCATTCCCTTATTCTAAACAGTTTCTGCCTTCAATTTATTTTACCAATGCGCATAGCTAAGGATTCCAACACATAGGCGGTTTAGGCTAGTGACTAGAAGTCATAATTTTGTTCATTTACTTAACCTCTTCTACAAAACCAATGATGCGCTAAAATGAACTAATAAACATGCTGTAATTTATCTTATACACATGCATCGCTACTAGTCCACAAACAGATTAATTGAGACCCAAAGGGAGTTATTTCCATACTCTCAATCGGTCCTATAAGTTAGTCTACACCAAGGTTCCAATGCAACAAAAATAGAAACAAGGAGAACGAAAAATATACATTCTCCTAGGCTGCACACCAAAACTGAAACAGATATGGTGAGGAGTCTTAAGTTTAGGCTTAGTTACCTCCTTTCAAATGAGCTACGGTTCACACTTAAGCCAAGAATAGAGTCCCCAATGTAGGTGTCAAGGTTCTCCCTCCTTCACTCTCCCAAGTTCACAAACTCAGCCACATGCAAGGGAGTTTATTTAGTCTCAATGAATTCTGATTCCCAACTACACGCAAGGAAAGTTACCCCATCAAACCGATTCATGAGATGGAAAATAAGGAGATGAAGAAGTGTCTCACCTCCTTGATGAAGGTTGCTTCGGTTGGAAAAGGGGAAGAAGAGATCACCAATTCTGCATGTAGAGGGACTCTTCATCAACCGAAGGGGGTAGGGTGGAGCAAAGAGAGCAACAAGGAATTTACTTCTCCACCTAGCTGTGTCTATGACCGAACCGAAAGATGAAAAGAGAAGAAAGTTAAATGATGAAGGTTCTTCTCTATTGGTACCTACGGCCATTTGCGATGAGAGGGGGTCCAACTTTGTTTCTGATTCTAAATTAAATCTCCAACTTAAAATCTCCTCCAACAGCGCCTAGGAAGTACTACACTAAGGATTTGGAAGTTGATTACAGTGACACCAAAGACCAGAAGATACTAAGCTTTTTTTTTCCTTTTTCATGCGTACAAGGGCTGGAGAGATTTGATGGTGATTTGTGTGAGTAACTTTGGACCAATAAGGAAACATGCGGCAAATTTTTCTTTCTTCCCATTGGCTAAAAGGAGGGGCAGCGCTGAATGATTTTGAACAAGGGTACAAGCAATCAGAATTCCCCTTTTTCCATTACACCATGCGCATGAAGGGATAAGGGGAACAAGGGTTGATTCTAGACCAATAATAAGCTGACATGTAGAACTTGCTTGGGATGAGATAAGGAGTCATGTGAAGAAAGTACCTTGGGTTGATTTTGGCTCCACATTTGAAGACTTGGGTCGTGGCCCTTAAAGAAGGTGGTTTCAAAAACGAAGGTCCAATTGCTTTCCTATTTAGGAATTAACCCAAGCCTTCTAATTTTTATGTACCTCTAATTATTTACGAAGGGTTTATTCATTAACTTAAAATTAATCGCATACTTTTAATGAGTACCCATATAATTCTAAGTAGTGTTATGCTTTCTATGTATTATAATTAAGTTATTCCTATACTCATAACTAGAATTTCACACACATAAAATAGGTACTTACCTTCCTGATAATACCAACAATTCCCTAATTTAATTTAACTCCATTCTAAAGCAAACCTTTATATAATCCGAAGACAAGTACTCTACCCCATTCCTAATTGCCATTTAAATAGGTTCCTAATTAGACGGGATGTTACACTTATTATATTCACCACACCTTTTAAAAAGATTTTGTCCTCAAAATCGGACCATACCTGATATCAAAATCAGGATAACGCCGGAGAATATCATCCTTCCGCTCCCTTGTGGCATCCTCAGGTGTCAATCCCTCCAGTTGAATCTTGATCATGGGAATAATTGTATTTCGAAGCTGTTTCTCATCTCGAGCAAGAACTTTAGAAGGTCCAACAACGAACTTCAAATCCTTCTTAACCTCTATGTCATCAGGCTGTACAATGTGTGAATCATTAGATATATATCTGCAGAGCTGACTCACATGGAAGACGTCATGTAGATTCGCTAAGTTGGGAGGTAAAGCAAGTTGATACGCCACCGGTCCAACCCTCTTGATTATCTGGTAGGGCTCAATGAACCGTGGACTCAACTTCATCACTCTCAAGGCACATCCAACACCTGTAGTGGGTGATAATCGAATGAATACATGATCCCCTTCAGAGAACTCAAGGGGTCTGTGCTTGGCACTATAGTAACTCTTCGATGGCTTTGGGCTTTCTTCAGCCTATCTTTGATCATCTCAATCTGCTCTGTGGTCTCTTAGACCAAGTCTGGCCCCATTAACTGTCTCTCTCCAACCTCCGTCCAACAAGTAGGTGCTCTGCACCTAGGGCTGTACAAGGCCTCATAAGGAGTCATGCCCAAACTGGCATGATAACTGTTGTTGTAGGATAACTCAACCAGTGGCAGGTACTTGTCCCAAGCATTACCCTGCTCTAACACACATGCTCTCAACATGTCCTCTAGTGTCTGAATGGTTCTCTCTGTCTGACCATCTGTATGCGGGTGATATGCAGTACTCAATCTCAATTGAGTACCAAAGGCCTCATGCAACGCTTCCCAGAAGCGTGAAGTAAACCTCGGATGCCGATCACTGACTGTGCTTTCGAGAATGCCATGAAGCTTAACAATCTCTCTGACGTATAGTTTGGCTAGCTGCTTTGTGGAGAAAGTCGTCTTGACTGGAATGAAATGGGCGAATTTAGTCACCCTATCAACCACAACCCATATGGAATCAAATCCAGCCTGGCTTCTCGGTAATCCAACAACAAAGTCCATGGATATACTCGTCCACTTCCACTCCGGAATATCTAATGGCTGTAACAAACCAGAAGGCTTCTGATGCTCAATTTTTACCTTCTGACAAATAAGGCACTTATTCCCAAACTGGGCTATGTCTTTCTTCATCCCTGACCACCAAAAATTTTGTTTCAAATCTTGGTACATCTTAGTTGCACCCGGATGAATGGTGTACTTACCCATATGGCCCTTTGTTAACACTTCTTCTACCATTGGCCCCTTTGGGACAATTAACCGATCTTTATAGTATTTCACATGAGAAGCATCGGTGAACACAAAATCTTGCTCTTTCATCATTTGGATCTCTTCAACAAGCACTTGGGCCGCTTTAGCTTTTTCCATTAACGAATTTCGGACTTCGACCATAGTCATGAAATATGAAGTCTCAAATGGTGTCAGACAAATTCTCAAATCCCTGAACTCCTCAATCAAATCATACTCTGCAATCATCATGCTAGCCACACCCATGGTTTTTCTGCTCAAGGCATCAGCCACTACATTCGCCTTTCCAGAGTGATACTGAAGGTCAAACTCATAATCCTTCAGGAATTCCATCCATCTCTAAGCTCCTTTTGATCGAATAGATACTTCAAGCTTTTGTGATTACTAAAAACTGTGAAGGTAGCACCATACAAGAAGTGTCTCCATATTTTCAAGGAAAAAACCACAGCTGCTAACTCAAGATCATGAGTAGGGTAGTTCTCTTCATGTGGTCTCAACTGTCTAGAAGCATAGGCCACTACCTTTTGCTCCTGCATCAACATGCACCCTAATCCATACTTAGATGCATCACAATAGATCTCAAATCTCTTCTCCGGATCAGGAAGAATCAGAACTGGTGCGGTAGTCAACTTATCTTTCAATTCTTGAAAACTCACATCACACCCAAGGGACCATGCAAATGGCACCCCTTTTCGAGGTCAACCTAGTCAATGGCAAGGCGATTTTGGGGAATCCATTAATAAATCGCCTGTAGTATCCGGCTAAACCCAGAAAACTCCGGATCTCAGTAACATTGTTGGGTCTCTCCCAATCCAACACAGCTTCAATTTTACTCGGATCAACAGCCACTCCTGTAGATGAGATGACATGTCCAAGAAACTGGATCTCATGTAACCAAAACTCACACTTGGATGGTTTGGCATATAACTGATGCTCCCTTAAAATCTGTAGAACTATCTTCAAATGCTTTGCATGTTCTTCCTTTCTTTTGGAGTAGATCAGAATATCATCAATGAATACCACAACAAACTGATCTAAATGTGGTTTGAAAATCCGGTTCATATAAGGGTTAGTTTTCCTATTTGAGATCTTCTACTCACATTTCATTTCCTAGGGTTACATTTTTTGCAATTTACCATTTTACCCTTTTTACGTATTTTGACTCTGAATTCAGGATTTTCACTAATCCTACCCTTTAATCCATATTTTAACTATAATTATATGTTTTAGAATTACGAGGTGTTATAGGAACCACCACAGAGAGTCGTGTCCAGCAAAAGTCCCCCCAATTTCTACTAATCAGAGAACAGGCAATCAGGTCGCACGAGCAATCAGCCTTAATAAGCAAACAAGCCATATGAGGAATCAGCCTCATGGGCAATCAAGCCCCACTAGCAATCAGGCTCCATAAACAACATGAATAGTTCACACAACATATTATATGCATGAACATACTTTGTTAAACAGTATCACAAGTCACAAATTCTAACCATTCTCAAAGGACATAGCGGAGCACACAAATGGACTAACCTCAGGACACACAAAAGTTTACCTGTTAAAAGTTCCACAAGCTCAATCCTTTACAATCGGATCCGAGGAAAGCAACCTACAATGATCATACACATAATGATCAACGCACATCCTTGACAACATAAGCAAATTACAAAATAATAACCCCCACATAAACACAATAGCCCACGTTTTTAAGGCTTTCAAATGCCTCATTGTGTCCTTATTTCTAAAGGAGGAAGAAGATGAGCCAAAATGACTAATTTCAAGAGTATATAGAGCCTAGCCAGCAATTTTGACTTTTTGGAAAAGTTTGGAAAATATCTAAATTCAATTTATTTATTTAATTAATCTTTTTGAAATCTTAATTAATTTCAAGACTTAGGTATTTTTCCTAAATTCAAGATACACAACTATAGTTTAATAATGTTACAATATAGTATTTAAAAGATCCAGACAATTTTTGCATAATTCCATTTTTACCCCTATACTCAAACTAACTGTATTTTTCCATAAACATCAAAATTCCTCAAATAATTCCTCTGATAATTTTTCTTGATTCTAAATACTCCTTTCAACATATACCCATTCCCAGAATATTAATTGTCATTTCTGAGTTTTTCCCTAAAATTATACTGTGGTATTTCATCCGCTAAAAATCATTATTCATCAATTTTCCAAAAAAGTATCTATCCACTTTTAAATTTCATTTTGAGTCCAAATCCAACATTATTTTCACCAAATAATGTCTAATTATATCATTTAACAATTTTAGGGTTCAGTAAATGTCAAATTACTATTTTTCCCTTTGAGTGTATTTTCACCCAAAATTCAAGATTTTCACTAATTAAATCCTCTAATCCACAATTCAATCATTAATAATGCATTTTAAATATGTGAGATGTTATACTTACACTGCCGTATAGAGTATTTTGAGTCCTAGAAACTTAGAGAATGAGTTTATTGAACTTTATCTCTTGAGGATTGCATACATAAGTCATAAACTCATACATTAAGAGTACATGCATACTTGATCCATACATACAATGACACACACACATGGAACATTATTAAATTGACGTTAGAAACATTCATTCGTGTGTAAGGAGTATAACTCATGTGGATCGAGATTACATAGTATAGGGCTATTGTGCAGAAATATCCGGATATGGATATTCAAATATCTAGATACTGATATCTGGATATGAGCCCGACAAATATCTGGATATGTGCCTAACAAATATTCATATATGGATCTGTCAGCACGTGATAATTACAATTTAAGGGTCCAACGACTATGTAACCCATAGGACCTCTACATAAACATGAATTAACACTCATTTAGGCTCTTTTTGGACATTTTGAGAGAAAAGCTCAATAGTCTTCTTCTCTTCATCTTTTTTTGTTATTTCTTTTGTAATTATGAAGGTAGAGAGGCAGCTCTACATATGTTTAACATTTGTTTACTGTTGGAATTGAATTTGTTGATTTGGAGTGATCCTATAGGGGTATAGGTTGAGATTGATCAAATATTTGATCAAAATTCTTGTAAAATTCCATTTTTTATTGGTTTCTCAGGCACCGATTGTAAGTTCTGAGGATAGTGGATCGATGATCTTAATCTAGATGTAGCTCTCTAGTGGTTTGAGAGTAAACCAGGATAAATTTTGGTGTTTTCTCTTTTTTCCCTTATCTGTTTTGAAGGTCATCTACATTGCTTTGAATTTGTTTTAGGATTGGGAATTGATCAATTTCTGTTATACCACGTTTTGGTTTGTTTTCTTTAAAACGGGGTTTGAAAAATCAAGTTTCTTGCAATAAAAGTTAACTATAATTCACCCCCTCTTGTGATATTGTGTACCCATTCTTTTTTTTTTTACAATTTGGTGAATATTGCAACTCGTTCCCTCCACCATTAGATCAAGCGATGTCTCCTCTTCTTCGATCGGATGAAGGAGAATGGCTTGTGTTATGGACCCGTATAATGGGCCCATTAAGTAACAAGCCCAACAAGGGGGAATCCAAGATATGGATTGATGCTAATAAAGGATAGATATCCATCAAGGATACTAATCCTAATGCGACAGCATAGCTATCAGGCCTGGATCCTCACCGTAGGAACCAAAGGCCCATCCACACTACCTACAGGTAACCTCTATAAATACAAAGGTAAACCCTAAAGGTACGTAGCTCTCTCTCTTACTGTTATGCTGTCACTGTGCGCATACACACACCCTATTGACTAATGCCGTTATAGTATTCTGTGCACAGTGATCTGCTAGACTCAAGGGTATCTCCTCTATATATACCTTGGAGAGGTCACTAGATCCAATATTAACGTACTAGCCTATTGGGCTAGACATCTCTGTCCCACGGACAGAACATTGGCGCCGTCTGTGGCAAAATTCTTCTTTGAATTTGAAGTTCCCACCAAATCCAACAAGGGATGGCAATCCGGACGAGGAGCAGTAGCCAGCAACCACCCCCGAATCGGAATCAACCATTGGATCCAGTCCTGGAGGAGACAAATCAGCCTCAGAACCAGATTGGAAACAACATATATTACAACCACGACCAGGTCGAAGACGATGTCTCAGACACTGCTTCGACACCGGCGCGTCAAGATAGGGGGCGGGGGCGAACGTAGCTCCAATAAGAAACAACCCTGCCCAGCATCCTGGAGATCTGGCTGCACGCATTGCTCAATCGGCTGATCCGGATACTCTGTTGGCCAACAATGCGTTTGCTGCAATCATGGAATGAATAGCAGCGCTGGAGACCCGTAGTAACTTACAGCGGCATCAAGATTTCAGGGCCATACGAGAGGAAAATAACAGGGAGATGCAAGACCTCGAACGGCGATTAATGCGGCTGGCTGGACCAGGAACAGCCAATGTGGAAGGCCAACCTGCCAATGGCCGAGAGGGACCACGGAACTCGGTTCAGCCAAACCAAGTTCCTCATCCAGAGAACCCTGCAAATGCGGTGAACCCGAGCCAAGGAAACCAGGTCGCTGATGGCCAAGACGCTCAAAACCACCAGGCATATGTTGACGGACAGGAGGACCGGGTTAGAACTCAGCCTCAACAGAATCCTCAGAACATCCGAGGGCGAGTAGAACCCGGCGGGTATAGGAGGAAGTACAGCAGGAGGTAGTACAACAATAGCCCCCTCACTGGTGAAATACTAAACGTTGTCTTCCCGGAGGATTTTGACTTGGCACGTCTGCCAAAGTACGATGGGAGCCAGGATACACAGATCCATATAGATGCTTTCGACACGGATATGTACATACGAGGAATTGATGAGCCTCTCATATCCCGGATATTTTCCATAACACTGACTGGAGCAGCGCAGGCATGGTTTTCAACCCTTCCTGCTAACTCCATCGGGTCATTTGAAGAATTCGGACAGAAGTTCCTTTTGAACTTTGCAACTAGCAAAAAGCATCCAAAGTCTGAGTTCGCTCTCGGAAAGATACGACAACAACTAGGAGAAACCCTCCAGAAATATCTTAATCGGTTCAAGGATGCTGCATTGCAGGTCCCAGGGCTGCAAGAGAATGTCCATGTTCACCTCATTGTGGCGGGTTTGGATGGTGCATCTAGACTAGCCAAGTCGGTCTATAAAGACCCAGTAAGGACGTTGGAGGAATTCAGAACTCGTTCGAAAAAATATCTCGAACTAGAGCAAATGGAGATTGCAAATGCGCAGTTTGATGAGGGCAAAAGGGGTAGCCCGAGAAGGAGGAGCCCGGCCCTAAAGGGAAAGGAACGAATCGACAATAAGAAGAAAGATCAATGCCCACGAATCCCGGACATGAGGGATCACGTTAGGAGATATGACAAGTATACACCTTTGAATACGTCGCGCTCGCAAATCTGGAGGGAAGTGGCACTCACAGAGATGAAGAAGGTGGAGAGACCCCGGCCTATATTCGACATAGGGAGTTTGGACAAGTCCAAATATTGTGCTTTCCATGACGGACCGGGGCACACTACGGATCAATGCTGGGATCTCCGAGATGCGGTGGAGAAGTTTGTTCGAGATGGAAGGCTACGTCAATACGTGATAAAAACCCAAGGTTCCAGAAATAACAAAAGGAAGTTGGGAAATAGGAATTGGAGCAAAAGTCTCGTTCCTGAAAAGAAGAACAAACAGGATAGGAATCAGAAAAATGATCTCAACTATGACGAATTCCCAGAAGTGGAGTTTGATTGTAATGTAGTTAGTGGAGCCTTGGGGGGAGGAGGAGATACTATAAGTGCTAGAAGAAAATACCTGAAAGAGGTACTCTCTATTCGAGATCGTCCCAAGTTCAAAGAAGACCTAACCAAGCCAGACCCTCCTCTTTTATACTTTACCAAAGAGGACATGCGCGGCGTGTTGCCGGGTCATGTTGACGGACTGGTCATTTGTGAGACCCTAGTGAATTGCCGGGTTCGGAAGATTTTCGTGGATGCAGGGAGTTGTGCCGATATCATACTCTGGGATGCTTTTAAAAAGATGAACTGGATGAAGAGGACCTCAAACCTTGCAAAACGACGCTGGTAGCCTTTAATGGAGAGCATACACCTCCTAAAGGCTACATTGATCTCAGGTTAACCTTGGGAGCAAAGGAAGCGTTCAGATCAGAACAGGTTAGGTTCATAGTGGCCGATTTCCCTTCAGAATATAATATAATCCTGGGAAGACCGACCATACATCAGTGGGACATGTTGGTTTCTACAAAACACCAGAAGATAAAAATGGTGAGCAATAAGAATGAAATAATCACTGTTTGTGGAGATCAGAAGGAATCCAGGGGTTGCTACTTTGATACTATCAAAGAAAATGAAGGGGGACGTTCGAGCCCACCCCGAATTCACTCGGGGGATAAAACCGATAGGAATGTAACTCCTCAGCAATCTAAGAAGCCGGTCAACATGGTTGAACTCGACATGAGAGAAGAAATAATGCCGAGACCCGAACCTGATGGAGAGCTTGAGGATCTCACGCTGGGGAAAGAGCCTGGTCAATTTACCCGCATTGGTAAGACCATAGACCCCCAAATTAAGTAAATTTTGGCTGACTTTCTTAAAAGCAACACGAATGTATTTGCATGGAAGTCATCAGAGATCCCTGGCATCGACCACGCATTTTGTTGTCACAAATTGGCAGCTTATCCGGGAAGTATTCTATTTTAAATATTATATATCATTTATTTACTATCAAAAAAACCTCATTTATTTTTTATTCCACGCCAGTTTCTCAGAAGAAAAGAAAACTGGGACCTGAAAGGAAACAAGTTCTACAAGAAACACGTTAAAGAACTCTTGGATGTCGGGTTCATTCGGGAGATACAGTACACGACATGGCTTGCCAATGTGGTGATGGTGAAAAAACCAAATGGGAAATGGAGAATTTGTACTGATTACACAGATTTAAACAAAGTTTGCCCAAAGGATGCTTATCCTATGCCTAACATAGATCAGCTGGTAGATAACTCGGCTGGATTTCGTCTGTTGTCTTTCATGGATGCCTATTCGGGATACAACCAGATCCCAATGTACCCGGCAGATCAAGAAAAAACGGCTTTTATTGCTGAAAATGCCAACTATTGCTACAATGTGATGCCATTTGGACTTAAAAACTCAGGGGCAACTTACCAAAGGATGATGAATAAGGTCTTCGAAGATCAGCTGGTCAAAAATCTAGAAGTATACATAGATGATATGATTGTGAAGTCATTTGATATGATGAATCATGTTCTGGATCTTGAGCAAACGTTCCAGAAGCTTAGGAAGTATTGCATCCGCCTCAACCCGGTAAAGTTCGCGTTCGGGGAAGCAGCTGGAAAATTTCTGGGTTTCATGCTAACCCACAGAGGAATTGAGGCGAACCCGGATAAATGCAAGGCGGTGCTTGACATGAAAGCACCCTAAAGCAAAAAGGAGGTCCAACAGCTGACCGGACGATGAGCTGCACTAACCCAGTTTCTTCCAAAATCGGCTGAAAATGCCCTCCCATTCTTTAAACTTTTAAAGAAAGAAGCAACTGACGGATGGAACCCGGCATGTGAAGCTGTGTTTGAAAAAATAAAGAAATGTTTATCAACTCCACCGATCCTCTCAAAGCCAAACCCAGGAGATGTTCTAATTCTATATTTGGCGGTAGGGGAGGAAGCAATAAGCGTTGTACTAATCAAGG